ATTAAAAAACTCGAACATTTATATTAAGATAGGAAGTACTTCAAAAATGTAACATTTGCAGGGCATTGACTGAATTATGGTTCTTTTGACTCAAAATCAATTTTCTGCCAGTTCCAATTATCAAGCTGCTGTGCAGAAACTAAGAAAGCTATGGCTTTAATCTGTTACTATCCTGTTAATTAATTCTGGTAAACATTTAAGGCCTTTAAAAATTACATTGAAATACACATGCTGTACTAAGTAAAAGAGACAGAAAGAGATGGTAATTTTAATTATAGGTGATGTTGACCTTTAAACACTTCCATGTTCTAATTGGACATTTTCAAGCTTTCTTCATCGTTCTCTTCTCTTATTTTGTTCTGCTACACAATAAATGATACTTCCCATAACTCACCAGAAAGACACCCCATTCTTACTCTCTCGCCTTTAATGTACATACATGTACATGCAATGTAATGTGTATTGCGTCTTGATACATAATACAAAATAATAGCAATGTTTGTGCATACATTAATGTACATGCATAATATGTATGTACATGTATGTTACAGTTGATTACATGAGTTTGAGCAGTTCCATCAGTTTGCAGTCATGAGATGGATTACATCACTGAGTTCTGCAAAGCTAAAGCATTAATTTGCTTTCATATTGAATTAATTTTGGATATTGCAATAGAGAATTCCTAAATTATTAACAATGATGGTGATGTAATACTGGCTCTCTGTTCCAATAATAATATCAGAAGAACAGTTTATACTAAGATTGATAATGATAAATGTTGAGACAAATAGTGACAATAGTTCCCCTGCATGCAAACACCAGTTAATGTTTAGCAATGAATACACTTATTGCGCTAATGAAGCCATAACTTGAGCAGCAGTAGTTTACATTGACAATGGTACCTATCTTTTGATTGTAAATGCAAAAGCAGCAAGAGAAAGTTTTAGAAAATCCTCATCAACTTTCTACAAACGGATTTTAGAAGGACAAGTTTGGGATCAAATTGACTTTTTATGACCTGAGAGTTAAGTTCTGTCCAACCATCAACAAACCTTTGCATATGATGGACAAAGTCACTGTGGAATGGGCTGAGTTTTGAAGATGGTGATTTGCTATTTCCTAAAAAATAATGTCTAATTCTGCAATTCTACTCTCTTGTTGTGTTTCTCTGTTTAATAGATTAATCATTAAAATTTTAATATTTTTATCAGTATAATGTAAAAATTAGAATTATTTCAATTGTAAAAAAATTCATCATAAAAATACATAAAAATATTGGAGAATTAGTCAACTTCGTTCTCTGAACCAACCTATCAAAGTACAAACATATACATAACATTAAATTCAATAAACAATCTACTTACAGACACACTGAAAAAGGTAGAGTAATGCTTGACATAAAAATGCTCACATGGCAAAACCCAACTTTTGGAATAATGCATAATAACATTCCATAAATAAGAACAAAGTACATAATGCACTCTTTCATACTACAGAATTAGAGATAGAAAAACACAGTGTAGTACATGGTAACATGCAAGTAGAGAAAGAAACAATGAATGCATACATCACAACTAAAACCTTGCAGCAATAAATACCATTTAAAACAAAGATTATAAATATATTAAATACAATTAAAATTAAAGTATATTAAGATTAATAGAAGTTCAAGAATATTAATTTTTCAAAAGTGGCTCTACATTGAAAGAAGCTAATTTTGTCCGAAAAATCAGTTACTGTTTAGTGATGTTTGTTGTATGCAATGCGAATGCAGTTCTAAATATAGTATTGCTGTTACTTTCACTTTGTGAAACAAAAAAAATTATTGCTTGTAAAAGTTTGTGTAAGGTGTGTTTTTATAACTCACTCCTCATAATTTATTGGAGCATTTGTAGGTCTCCACAAACAATTCACAGTATTCTTTTTTAAATTAAAAATAGAAATTATCTGTTCATACCTTAGCGCACGTACACTTCCATTTCTCTTTTCCCACTTCTGCTTTTGGCTACAGTTTCAAAAGTGTATTAAGAGCCAAATCACTAGAAGTAATTGCATATACTACTTCATAATTAAAACAATAATAATAATGATAATAATAATAATAATTGTTGTTGTTTTCATTGTGCTTATTGTTATTGTTATTATTATTATTATTATTATTATTATTATTATTGTTATTATTTTTATTATTATTGTTATTGTTGTTATTACAGTGGAACCTCGCTTAACGACCACCTCTAAGTAACGGCCGTCCATCATATAGCGGCCAAATGTCCGGGTCCGGATACAAACTACACTTACTTGCCTGTTAAGGCAACCCCTGAAGAACGACCACCTCTCTATTGCGTATAACGAGCACTCAAAATGTCCCCAACACAGCATAAAGCATTGAGAAAAACTTCTCTTTAACGGCCATGTGGCCACACCCATCACCTAGACCGGATGTTTTCATCATGAAACGTCATCTATAGCCCCACCCATATAAATAAAATGGCTGAAAACTTGAGCATGCCCTTTCTTCTTGCTGTAATTCGCTTATTTTTCCTGCTACCTCTTACATACTACCTGCAGGATCTTTGTACTTGTTATTGACCTGAGGAATGAATCAAGATACTTAAGAAGGCAACACAGTTAAATATCTCTTAAGTTAGACACTTTAAACTGAAACCCCTCAATAAAGACCACCCCTGTATAACAGCCAAAGGACCAGTTCCCAATGGTGACCGTTATACAGAGGTTCCACTGTATATCCATATAATAATAATAATTATTATTATTATTATTGTTGTTATTATTTCCATTATTACTATTATTAAAAGCAGGACTATTATTATTATCAATATTGGTAGAATGGCAGATGACATTGTATTTAACATAGAGGTATCTATAAATTGAATATAGGCAGAATTAGATTTTTTACGAATTTTTGAAATTGCTCAAAATGCCATATACATGTACAAATGTGTATGTGCTAGTCAGCTCATGAAGAATGTTGTTTAGCCCACTTAGCATGTTGTGTGGGAAACCATGGGTATGCATCATAGGAAGGGTTAGAGAAATAGAGAAAAAGGCTCAATGTTAAAATGTTAATGAGAGATAAACACTGTGGATAATAGACAATAGTAATAGTAATAAGGCATAATAGTAACAGTAATACACAATGTTACAAGCACTAACAGTGATCCATAATACTAAAGGTTTGTGAAAAATTACATATTGCTTAAAGGTTACACAGTAATAGTAATAGTATCAATAGATTTACTTAACTATGCATATCCATATAATATAATAGTGATGTACGCTGTAATGCATTCCCATGGCTGTCACAACACAAATACAACACATACATCTAGCTATATATTACTTAGCATGCAAGTGCAAATCTTAAACAAACTGAAATCTGATGTCTATTAAGATACTACAACAGATACTATTAAGATACTATAAATCTGTTCACTATTACTTATAATTATTATTTCATAATTTGGCGTAGATGGAGCAAGACTACATGGTTAGTAGTGTAATTAATAAAACTGCTAAATGAAATTTGCAAACACCAGTATTATGTAGATCTATCACTGTAGCTATGTATACATAATGTGTTGACAAACAGTAATAGTCCATGCAGCAACAATTATACATGCAATAAGTGTTCTACAACACTCAAACTACTTTAGAACCTTAAATTACTTTAAAATAGTGGCTGTGTGTTGCCGCTACTGTAGTAGCCTAATCAGTAATATAGACCTATAGATCGAGCACCAATATCCTCCATCTTGCCTTCAAGGTGTGGCTCGAATCGAAGGTGCAGGTGCTAGGCGTGTCTATAAGGTAAGAAGTATTGCGGTATTGGCAATGCAGAACATTTTTATATTTTCCCCATTCATTTAATGGGGAAGGTTTCCGGATCGGGTGGTTCATTCTAAAAATACAATTAAGGTAACTTTAATATTCATGAAAATTAATTAATTACTTAGACAATAATGGCAAGAGACTATAGTGTTACAAATTATTAATGTCAGCTTAAAGTCTCACATCATTAGGCCTGGGTGGACTAAAAGACTCAACTTCTCTTTCTAATGCAGCTTCAGCTTCTTCAGGAGTTGTGTACATAAACTGAAGCTTGACAGTTACCCTACTTCGACATCCTCCACCTAAATTATGCAAAATAAATAATGGGCTCAAACATGATCACTGTATGATTGAAATGTACATGTATGCAGTTCATTACTTGTTCATGATTAAGACCTTTCCATGTAGTAGGAAACACATTCTCACCAACCTATCATAATATAAATACAATGTACACATGTACATACAAATGTAACATTGTACACATAATAAATAACTTTAAAACATTGAAAAGGTAAGTACATGTACATGTATTTTGGCCAGGGAAGGCAAATCTATACATGTATTGTATAGAAAATTTATACATCTATACATGAATCTATAAATCTATGCAAATCTATTGTTGGGTGGCTGAATTTAAGATCATGAAACAATATCCTGAAATACTATGGTATTGTACACATGTACATGTACTAATAGTACTCACAGATTTATTGGACAATAGTTCAAAGAGATTAGTGAGTCCCTCAATGGTAAGTCCCTCATTCTCATTAATGAATACAAAATTATATTTTTACTATATTTTATATTTTTCAGATATTTTCCACATATATGAAACTTACCAGTATTTGGCAGTATGTAATACATATCAAACATATATATTATGTGAAATACATATGTTATACATAAACAACATAATTATATTTCTTTTTTCATAAATAAATTAACTGCAAAATATATTTCTTTTCTATAAAACATATATATAATGAACATAATACATATTAAATATAAACATATGGTATATATTGTATAATAAAGTTATAACTAAGTTATAAATAAAATATATATGCTTTCAAAGTAACTTTGTCCACCTTTTACTAAATTTCTTCTTGTAAAGACTTTGTCCACCTTTCGCTACTCACAGGGGAAAGAAGAGAGAGAGATAGTGAATAAGAGGGAACAAACGATATGCTATTTAAAATTAAACTGTATTTTTTGACAGCTATAATTTCCCTCAGTGTACTTATTAACAATCATCATGTCAATAATGGATAATATAATTTTATATACATTGTACAGTAACTTAAAGCAATAAAAGAGAAATATCAAAATTTCTAACTGGCAAATTTTACTGTTAGTACATATCTGAGTTCCCAATTTTAACTCACCACATATATGAGCCTCCTATATGAATAATGTTCAGTTCTCTATACCTCCTTGATAGCTTCCCATATGCACACATACTACAGACAAAAAGAAATAAGGATAAAGAGAAAAAGAAGAAATAAGAATTGTGTTATCACAATTCAGTAACATTATTGATGGCTCACCTTACATTAAACTATATAGAATTATAAAGGATTTACATAAGAAAAGGCCAGAGAAAAGAGGAGAGAACAAAAAAATGAGACAAAATAATAAGCTAAATTTCACTTTTTGTTGGAGTGAAAAAAGATTTAACAAATAACCTTTTAAATCTATGAAAGAGAAAGGGAGGAAAAGAGAGAGAGTATCACAGCTACAAGCATTATTGTTCCTTACATGTTGTGAGTAACAGATCAGAGAAATCGCCAAAATTTAACCTGTCAGTTTTGTAAAAAACTTTCCACCACCAAGCAAGTAACCAAGGCGACCCCACTATATAGTACAAGGAGATAATGGAGAGTGGAAGAAAAAGAAAGAACAATAACAATTAATACACAAGCCATGCATTAAAACTATAATAACAAGAACATTGATACCACCACTAATCTTACGTACTATCAAAAGTAAATATATTTTGTTGGTCACTGCTTCATCATTCTGTAAATAAGTTTCAATAGAGGAGAGGCAAGTTGAGAAGAGACAAGAAGAAAAGGAGATACGAGACAAAAATAATGAGAGGAAATGCAATATAAAATTTTACCTTGATATGAGTGAAAAAATAAAAGAGCACTTTCTTACATTCAAAGTTATACATACAGTATACAGAGACAAAGCTAGAGGAGAGAGAGAGACCATGATATTAATGAACTGTAGGCTAGGCAGTCTGGCATTGATAAATGCTATTAATTCCTTACATGCGTACGAGTTCTTTGGCTCTATAGTACTTCAAGCCACAACTTCATCACACTATGATTTGTTTTATTAGCCATGCACCAATTAGTTCAATCATATAGTAGCCTAGCTCATGGGATAGCGATTCATCCTGTTAAGAAAGGAGAAGAAGTGTACATCTTTATGAATGTGCATAACAATTGGCATTTTCACAAAATGTATCAGTGCAATCATACATTGACACACCCACTAAGGGCCATTACAATACAATGACATTGAAGAAAGTTACAAAAACTCAGTCACACACTCCTGCATATCAACCCATGCAATATCAGTACAGTACACATGAAACTAGCCGGAGAAACACTATACGGTAGGCTTGAAGTGGGGAACACACATCTAAAATTTAACACTATCCAATGTAACATTACAACTACATTAATAGAACACTTGTGACTTAATACTATACTAGCAAGACATTATATTGAGAATTGGCAATAAATCAGCCAAACCCTCAGGCTGACCGTGGCGCGGGGCAACTCAGTTAAACACTGAACCGCATTCCTCCAAACAGCAAGTCCACCCCATACTTATCGAGTAAAATTATGCGTGTACTCACAGAGAAATCAAGGCTTCACAGCTCGAGTGGCCATTGCTGCCAGAGTACAGGATTAACTCAACTTAACTGAATGAATAGATCACAGCTCCATGACCATGTTTCACTAATCACTATCACATGATGATAACACACGTGCTTGTACATTGCTCTGCCCACCTTGACTCTCCGCCATAAGGGCCCTTTTGTCAATTATGGTCACATATATGTAAGATAAAAATATATTTAATTCATATGTGAAATTGCAACATACATATAACATAATAATTAATGTATACGTAAGAAACAAGTCACTATGTATGCAAACATATATTTAAGACAAATATATATGTAACTTATATGTCACATATAAGCCACATACATTCTGCATATATATTATGTACGCAACATATAATTTTGTAGTACCTGGATAACCTAATGGAGCCATTAGTGAGTGCAACTCACTAATTAATTTGCAAAATTCTTCATACTTTTTCTTCTTTCAACTTCTTCTATCGTCAGGATAATCTTTTAAACAAGAGAACCGCTCGAGTTGGCTTTTACATCATTCCTTTGTGCTTGGGTCAAGGACCACAAAGGTAGTTTCAAAAAGAAGCAAGAACAGATAACAAAATGGAAGACAAAATCCAGCTGCAGACACCGCGTGGGTTTGTGGTTTGACACCATTTTAATTTATGCGCACGTGATCAGCATGAATATAATTAACCTAACCACACAATCATAACAGAATGCAATTTATTACATTAAGAAAAAAGAATGGAAACAAGTAAATAGAAAACATTAAAAATGGAAAAGTAGTAGGATTGAAGTGGAAAAAAGTAAGGAAACAAGAAGGTACTTGCAAACTGGTGTGGTAAAAATATCTTACACCACTGCATGAAGAATATAATCCAAAGCATCAGGTTTGCACACAGTGGGGTGAATCCTACTTAGTAACGCTACCGCGTTACTAATAGCCTTGGGTATTTTTCAGATCTTTTAAGTTTTCTTAAGATGGTCGTAACTTGAAAAATTGAAGTCAGAATTAGCTCAAATTTTCTACACGGCATAAGGACATCAATATGTATCAAAAATGTAATAAAAATTTGGGGTCATTTTTTAGCCATTTTTTGGAAAAACGCATGGGCTATAGCCTTGGGTATTTTTCAGATTTTTGATGTTTTCTTAAAATGGTTGTAACTTGAAAAATTGAAGTCGGAATTAGCTCAAACTTTCAACATAGCATTAGGACATCAATATGTATCAAAATGTAATAAAAATTTGTGGTCATTGGTAATGTCAAAACTTGACGTTGCCTCTTTCTCCTTCTCCTCCTAACGATTTCAATTTCTTTCCTTTTTTATCCAGTATTGTTACACAGTGACCATCACGCTCAGTTATTATAACAGGGCCGAATCTTATATACATTATATACAATCTTAAAGACATATGCTTTACATTTACAAATGTACACACACATGTATATGTAAAAATACATGTACATGTAAATTTTACTGTATGAATTACCTTAAGATGATCAATAAGATGAACTGCTTTCTCCTTTATCAATTTCAATCGATCGACTAAAATTTTTTCTAAAATAAAATCAAAAGTCATAAACAGTCTTTACTGTGCCTTGTACAAGTACCAGTAGTAATATCAATACTATAACACTCATAATTTCATAATTCCATTTCCATACTCTGTACC